TGTCACCCTGGGAATGGCAGGGATGAAGGAAAGGGCTCAGTGGCACTCAGGCACTGCAGCACAGGGCTTTGTCACCCTGGGAATGGCAGGGATGCAAGGAAAGGGCTCAGTGGCACTGCAGGCACTGCAGCACAGGGCTCTGTCACCCTGGGAATGGCAGGGATGCAGGGAAAGGCTCCCAAGGAGCCAGTGCTGCAGCTCTATAGCCCTTCTGGCTCCAGGAGGCACCACTGCCCTGCCATGCCTGGGGGCAGCAGCACAGCTGAGGTGGTTCTGCAGAGGGTCCTCCCCTCTGAAAGGATGGATTTGCTTCCACTCTGAGTCACAAAAAAGCAGCTACAGATTCTGTAGACCTGTGCTGAAAAGCTCATGGCTGTTCTCGGCTTCTTGGAGCCTTGGGAATTTGACAGTACCAGCCAGAGACACATCCATGCAAGTCACCTGCTAAATCCATGACTGCCCTTCCCCTCTTTCAAGAAGTTCCCTTCAGGACCCACTGCCAGGTGAGTCCTTCCTCAGCCCTGCCAGCTGAGGGACACAACAGTGCCAAGCCCAGCAGGTGGCTTTCAACACCTGTACTTCAGACAAGTCAAACTCAATTTTCCCTGGGCCAATGCAAGGCACGGCTCCTCAACCAAGGCTGCTCCTACATGAAACATCACCTTTCACACCCTTTTGTTGCAAAGTATTCAAAAGAAAAATAAAATGAAATGGAAGTCTGTTTTATTACTATTATTATTGCTTCTCACTTCCAGGCTCAGAAACAAGACAACTGGCTTTGCTCAAAGGAAATTTGTCTTTTGGCAGAGGCCAGGCCTCAAGAACTCTGCCTCAAATGCAAAGATGCCAGAAGTTATGAGTAAAGAAATGAAAGGTTTCTACAACCAAAACAATTCTGACACCTTGGCTTTCTCTTGCTGTTGTAGTGACAAAAACTTACTTCTCAGAGAATTAAGTTTTCAACCAGAATCTATAACCTTTGCATTCAAGAGAGATTGCAAATCCCCACCCATTTCCCTGCTTCGCAGCTTCCCAGGGTTCGCAGCTCATA